ATACTTAAGTATTCTCAATAGAATTTACTTAAAGTATACTACTTTTTGCTAAGGGTGATAGCAATTAGCTGTTAGCTTTAGAAACGAAAGCTTAGCTTTTTTTCTGTTTTAAATCCTCTGATATTACAACCAAATTTGTGCTTTCAGTAAACTTCCAAAGTCTCCCACACAATGCCCCTCAAAACAAAAGCTATCTCATTAGGGAGAAAAGCTCTGTCTTTCTTCACACAACGGAGTCCTTTTGACAACATAATTCTGTAATATTCAGGTGTGTCAACTGTCCTGTAAATATTTTCCAAAAGGATTTCAATAAAAACACCCTAATCTACCTATCACATGCACATTTTATACACATAAAGTCTCATAGAATTCGTCATTAAATTTACAAGTTTGGTGAAAAACAGGATCATTACAAGAAGTTAGGTATTCAAGGAAAGAGTAACCCCAAGAAAAGCTGTCAGATTTGGCAGGCGTTCCTCCCAGTGTCACATGTTGTTACCTCAATACAGTGTGCTTATTAGTGCCTGCTTTTTAAAAACCATGCCTATCGCCCGATCCTATGTGAAAGAAGGCACTTACAGGAGATAAGTGGTACAGGCCCAGTTTACAAACCACTGTGTGGATCTCAGCAGTGACTCTTCAAGTAAATTAGTGGTTTTTCTGAGTTGCAGATATCTTGTGGCAATTAGGAAGGAGCTACACAGGAGCCTAAAGAACAGTAGGGCGGGGGCTTTTAGTGCCTTCTGTTAATTCATACATTCATATGCATGCAATCTTCCTATATAACAAGTGGTCACTCAAATTTCTGAGGGTCTATTTACACAAAAAGGTTCTGCTGGCCAAACAAATTTCAACAAGAAAGGCAGACATTTTGGCAAAATTGTACAGTGCATCACTGTGATAAGTCAGTGACTTCAAGATTATGCTTAAAATTTTAAATCAGTGCGATTTAAAAAGAAAAAATCACAATACATTAACACAGTACAGTGGGAAGAATAAATGTTAACTTTCTGAAAGGAGAAAAGTAAAACAAATACATTATATTTTCACAGGTGCTTTAGAAAAAAACATGAGACACTGTTTCCTTCATTAAATTAT